TCTTTTTTTTTTTTTTTTATGGCAATTAGAAAAAAAATTAGACACAATGGTAAAAAAATTTCTCAATTTTATTGACAATTTTCATGTAAAACAAAACCAAACGAATAATATTTGATATGGTAAAAAAAAAATTTTCAGATTTTTTTGTACTTTTTGTCAATTGGAACAAATTCTAGACCTAATGTTAGAAAACATTATCACTTTAATGGACAATTTTCATGAAAAACGAAATTAAACCGATACCAAACTTTCAATACTTTCCAGGTGGAAAATTATACCAATCAAATACAATTAATTACAATTCTCAGGAAAATATTTTCTACGAAAATCTTTTCCCTGTAAAACATTTTCTTTCTACCCATTTTCCATCCTTGCAATCAAACGCACCCTTAGATACACTGTACGAGATGAGAAACAGTTGAAGTTAATGCCTACACAACATAAACCATGCCAACTTCAAGGAGAGATGCTGGAGGCACCTTCAACGCCACATCCGCCCCCCTGCAGTTCCTTCTAAGGAAATTATAACCGAAATTGATCGCCAGCCTCTTCAAGAGAGACGAGCCTTGTTTTGCCTTAACATGAGAGTGCCCAAGTATGAATGCAGTCCCGGCTTGTTGAGCTGCACGTAGATCTTGTAGTTCTTCACGTAGTTGAACATCCATTTCTGACCCTGGATCAGCTTCAGAGTCAGTATCGATAGCGAACCGAACTCTTCGTTCCACGATGTCTAAGGGCTCCATTTCAATTACATCCATTACGCTATCGACTGTTGAGAAACCAACTGAAACACTTGCTGGCTGCACGCTTTCCTCAATATCAAAAGGTGGGCCTCCGGAGATTGCTACTGTTCCTATCACTGCCAATCTACACTCACTTGATGATGCACCGGATCGATAGCCATCATCCTCGTTGCATGTATCTATAATGCCATGCTCCATGTACCAATCATAACGGATAAAATCAGCCAGCTTATTAATGAGTTCAGATTCAAAAGAATCAACATCCTGATGGACATCCCGGTATCCATATCGTACAATGCACCTATATGAACGATGAGCTACAGGGCCCACACGTCCTACGAGGTACCTCTCGGCTGGGGGAACAAATGGTACTGGTACAGATTTTATACACACGAAAACAAGGAGATGGTGGAAAGCAGGGAGATTGGTGACAAAACGAGAAAAGTTGGCAGGAATACCGGAGGTCAAATCAGTGAACACAATGCCAATGCCAGGGACCCGAGCTATACCTAGGCTGGGACCTAAAGCCAATAGCCACTCCAGGGAAACCTTGTTGTGGAGGTCATATTCATATTTCTTAATGGTGGCATAGTGCCAAACGAACATAATGGTAACAAGAAAGAGTGCGAGGAGGATGGGAAGCCAGGCACCTTCACGGAATTTGACAAGGGAAGCAGAGAAGTAGAGTAATTCAATAGATCCGAAGAAAAGTAGAAAGATAAATGCCACAATTGGAGGTTTTTGCCAACAGAGGATGATGACCAATGATGTGAGGCAAGTAGTCACCAGCATCACTGCCATTACTGCCAAGCCTGCAAATGATAGGTAATAAATAAAAATGTCTGCTAAAACACATCATTTAGTTATATACTACATGCTGTAAAAATTTGATGATTAATTCTAGTTTCCTGGAGAGGAGCATTGATAATTTCATCTAACTATAAATCTAATTCCTAGTTCCCTTGTGAAATGTTTGGCAGGGAGGATTGGATAGCAATGGACGGTATTAATGAAGGCAAAAAGAGAGAGAGAGAGAGAGAGAGAGACAGAGAGACAGAGTAGCTAAAATCTTGTGCAGAATACTATCATGTCTAGTGCAGTGCTGCATAAGTATAATGTAGCCCTCTCCAGGAAGGTTATAAGTTGATGCAGCTGAGCATCAACTTGATGCCGTAAGGGGTGATTGAAAAGTTAACAATCTCAATAAAAAGGCATAATTGTGCCTGACGTACCTGATGCATTTCCCATGTGTTTTGTGTCCCTGAATCCAATAGTGACAGCAATGCAAAGAATCATGAGCATCCAGTTGATCTCAGGGATGTAGATCTGGCCATGTATCTTATCGGACGTGTGAACAACCTTGACCCTTGGAAAGCAACCTAGTGACTGACTCTGGTTGATTATAGAGAATGTTCCACTGATGATTGCTTGACTTCCCACAACAGAAGCAAGTATTGCTATTACAAGTACTGGCCACCTAACACTTTCTGTTTGCAAAATATCGAGAATGTTATTAATATAAGTATGCATGAAATCCTAACTTATTGTATTAATCACCTCTACTTGAAAATATAACTGTTTTGTGTTAGTTTAGTTCAGCCAGTGGCAACGCTATATCAAGGAGGCACTGCATAAGATATACTCGTTTGGCTATGTTTAAAAATCTTATTCATAATTAAGTTTACTAAGTAAATAAGTTGTAAAACAAATAATTCTTTGATTGGATACAGTTGGAAACAAGTTACTAACTTCGACAGTAATGTAAGATTTACCTTCAGAATTATTAACATATCCACAATTGTTTTTTAAGCTTAGCCAAACATGCTTGTGTAACTTTAAAAAGGATTCTCTTCTCTACCGAGTCTAACAGTGGTGAGTCATACCTGGAACAGAGACATAAAAATCAATGTCGTGAATTGTGTGGTGATGTTTTGATAAGTAAGCTGCTTGACCCATATATGCCAATATGAGTGCCGGATAAACCAAAAAGGTGAAAGCCACCTGCAACAGAAGAAAAAGACAGAACAATCATTTCAAAGTAACTCCTTGAACTACAAGGAAACGCAAATTAATAACAAACGCCTAAACCATGTAGGAGAACACCTAATAAAATTAGTCCTAGCAAAGAGGTAAAAAAATTTCTGTGCTGCATTATTGCCAAAGGTCACAAAAGAGATGAAATGGTTTGCGAATATGTACCTGAATTGCAGCATACGAGAAGTGTCCAAGATCAGCAAACATTGCTTCAGAACCTGAGGGCAAAGGAATAGAGAATATTGTCATTCTAGTGTGGTGAACTAATCTTTGCCAATCATTAATTTAAGATCTTTTCAAATTATAACACGATGATTACTTGACCACCATTCGACCATATCAAAATCATATTCAACGCCTATTTGATGGCCATTATTTGAAAACTCTTTTTTCAACATACTCGTTTTCAACTACATATTTACATAATAAAATATTCTGCATGTAAATCTAAAACTTTTCCCTATATTTTAACCACACATTCTCCTAAAAGTCACTATTCTAAACATTGTTTTTCCCAAATTATAAATGCTATGCACGACATTTTCCTCATGATGGACATTTTTTAAGGGGTTCACCTGTAATGCACAAAAGAATTCCACCCAATGACATCCATCCTCCTTTTCTTGTCTTCTTCAAAAACTTTAGCATGTAATATGGGGAAAGCGCTTGATAAACATGTGGATTCCAGTGTAAAATATTGTACAAACCGAGAGCACTGATGCATATCAACCAAGTCAGCACAACTGGTGCAAAACAGAAGCCAACACGATGTGTGCCAAAGTGTTGTAAAGCAAATAGGCACACTAATATGAAGCAAGTAATTGGAATGACAGCATCTGCAAATGGGGAATAGACACAGATGTAAAAAGGATATAACAGGGAACAATCAACTATTTACTAATTGATCATTTATAAATACAAGCTGACCGAAATTCTCAAATTAGAAAGAGACAATATTTGCCTTAGAAAGGGATGCAGAATAACTAGTAGGGACAATTTCACATATTTACGAGCTCGATTGATTTAGAGCATCAGACACACTTCCTCCATTAGATTAAGATTGACAAATCAAGCAAACAACCACCAGTTTCCTTTATTAAGGTTGATAATACATATATGTGTATGTACACACATTTGAGGGCCATTTTGGTATCAGAGCCATAAGCCAAATAGGGTGAGGTTATAGTAATTATACTGTTTTAAGTATAGTGTCAAGGGAGAAACTGGTTACCCTAGAGCTTGCTGGAGCGTTGGTTAGCCCGTTAAGCCGAGAAAGAGCATATATGTATATATATCATGAATTATGACAAAATGAGCAACTTCAAACAAAAGATCTGGATGCATAGGATTGAGCAGAAAATTGCTCTAAGATACAATAAAAATATAAGAAAAAAAGGAAATTGTCATGCTGATGCCTGATGCTAATTTTTTAAGACCACGTGTTGATAATTTGAATGGTCCCAGCATCTGAGATCAAATGGATTTTTTCACAAACTTTTCAGGATGATCCAGTGGCCCCTATATCCAAGAGTCATTCCATGGCACAAAAGACCATATATCTTCTGACTCGATGCAGTCCATCTAAGTTTCAGCAAAAATAGCTAGCATCAACAAGACAATTTTCCTCTTTCTTCTATAAACAAACTCGTATTATTATTACTTTCCTGGCTAATTCAATTTATCCTGTGTCAAGTCTTCTAATAAGGGGCAAGCTATAATTCGTTTCATATGTAAGCATATGCACACCATAATTAGATGATAGAAAAGTTGACAAAATTTTGCATCGACCATCCTTTGCCCAGCAACCAGACAGTGGTTGCGAAAGCAAACAAGAAATAAAAAGCAAAGGCTCTGAGACAGAACTATTTGCCAATAAAAATTATTCAACAAGAACGTGAAACTTTAATGCACGTGCATTTTGGCTCCGGTTTTGTGTCACCTCAATCACTAATTTGAAGTTGTAAAGTAGATTTTATTAAATTGCATACAGGGGTTTTGATATATGTGTCCCAGCACCAATAGCGAGAGTAAAAAACAGATCAATCTAAGATCCCACATCTTTTCCCAGGGGAATATATAATTATTATTTCTTTCCCATTTTTCCATTTTTTTTGTAGTAGAACAAAAAACTATAGCTAGAAAGAAAGAAAGTAGAAGGATTAAAAGATACATTCTGTAATTTGAAATTAAATCTAGACAGATCACACAGAAATACTAATACAAGCTTCTTTTCCTTTTCTTTCTGGTGCAATCTTTGAACAAATTTGATTGCATGTCCATCTTCAGCCCTTATCATCATGTGTGAACGTCAAGTTTGATCGAGTAGAAAGCAGGCATAAAACGACGCTCATAAAGAAAGAAGCTTACATTGGTGCTGATCCTTAGACATTGATAACTCTAGGCCAGAAACTGCTGAAAAAACTGCAAAACGAAATGGATTATTAACAAATTATAATTTTCAAATCAAATTCAAACAAATCAGGTAGAAAGGTTATCAACCAGATATTGCTGGAGTGAGCAATCCATCTCCAATGACCATACAAGTGCCGAGAAGAACTAAAATTAGCAAAGCAGTGTGCAAGGATTTATGCTTCTCAAGCACCAACTTCACCCTTGAGCTATTGTTCTTGGGCTCGGGAGGGTGTTCAAATTTATAGGTAGAAAGAGCTTCATCCGCTACTTGTCGATTTGGAAGAAGGCTAACTTTAGCATGCCTGCATATCAAGGAATAGAGAGCAAAAGTGCCCCCTGCAGCAATCTCGAATTAGGGACTACCAATGAATGACTAGCAACGAAGAGAATTATCCATTCGTATCTTACCCTCTCCATTATCATCCGCTCGAAGTACGATAAAGACATATTTGAATAAAGGAACAAGAGTTAGAGTCCAGAAAACAAAAGAAAGAACCCCCAAAATCTCTTCATTTGTCTCAGAGTGATGAATGTCCTCTGCAAATGTGCTCTTGTATACATAGAGAGGGGAAATGCTAAGGTCTCCATATACAACACCAAGACTCTGATACGCTAAAAGCAGAGTGGTCTTCCAAGAATCCTTCTGAAAACCAATTAACGATCAATATTCCAAGAATGTAGCCCAGATAAGAATGTACAAGGGAAACTTTACAGTAAAATATACTATACTGACAAACACTGCATATAAATGGCAAATTGGACCCATAATTGTTGTAAATAAATAACAAGAACTATGAATTACAAACCTTTGAAGTGCCCCAGCAACGCCCATAGTCAAGATCCATGGTTCATGAACGTTTAATCTTTGTTCAAAATGCAGGTAATTGTAATAATTAACTGTAGATCATCAAAGAAGCAGATAAATGAAATTAGCCAAAAAATAAAAAATGAAGAGATAATACTACAAGAAAACACCAAATGATAGCCTAATAGCTCTAATTTACAACCAGAAATATGTAAAAAGCAACAAACATTGCCTACTTCTCACTAAACCCATGTGGCATGCTCACGCCTTCAGCATTTTCAATAAGATGACATCTGTAATCTTAAGAACATTAAATGAGGCCTCAAAGCATCTCATATCAAAATCATTAACAAAATGTGAGCACCAAATTAATTGAAACTCATTCGCTACACTTTCTTTCCTATTTTTGGTTGACAGTAAGGAAAAGAACACGATTCTTCAGTGACTATTTGCCTCTACTATAAGCAAGGAAAAACTCATCCAATACAGATAAAAATAGCTTGAAACCCACAAAAAATTCTTACAGTTTACACAAAAATCGGCGGTGATAATTCTTAATTTTTTCAAAGACGACAAAATACATTAGACCAAAAACAAGAGAAGGAACAAGGATGTGGGCAAGAAAACCAAGATCACATGATTCAACGACAGGTGCATTATCAAATCAGTCCCACCAAATTGAGCCCACAGGAATAAAGGCGAATTTAAGGACCTCCAAACCCATTCTCTTTATGCACACTCCTATACATATATACATAAAAATAGATATACACATGTATATATACTAATATTTTACTTTAATTTTGCACTTCGCTTGAAGACTGAGCCAAATTCCGACCAACTTGAAGAAATGGGAACACACACACGGACGCATATACACAAATATTGTTAAAAAACACTTCGCTTGAAGACTGAGCCAAATTCCGACCAACTTGAAGATATGGGAACACACACACGGACGCTTATACACAAATATTGTTAAAAATTGTACAAGATAAAAAAGAATAATACCACTTGCTTGAAAAGCTGATAATGGGTAGCTCAAGATATGAATACATGGCTCTGATTTCACCTAAAACTAATTCAACAATGGCTCAATAAGGATCTCGAAAGCATTCTAAACAAAACGAATTAGCAACACTTGCCAGGTCTAAAAGCAAAAACTTATACAAATTCTGTAAAGGCCTTGAAATTGTGAAAGATAAAATGTAGCGGAATGTACTAGTGTCATATTCTTGTGTAGAGGCAGCACCACGTGATTGTAGTATATATGGACCACCCACTGTGCATTCACAGCTTCAACGTTTATCAACAATATGTACTTTTTTTTTTTCTGTTTCAATTCGTATAAAAGTTAAAACTACTGCAGAATTTAAGGCATCTTTTCCATATCACCATTGGTAAGTTTCTCTGCTGTTTTTTTCCCCTTGTCAATGTGTTAAAATTATACTGGAAATTGATTTTATGAATCTTGAAAATCCTTTTGGTCGAGTTATTTATTATAGTGCATTCTACGCTATTGGATCAAATGGTAACCACGTTGTTGAGAAAATGACGATTTATCTTAATGAAATGAAAATTAGATTCATGTAATGGAAAAATGATTTCCGAGTATTAGACAAAGAAACAATCTATTTGTCCAAAAGGTTAGATATCAGTACAGGGTTTTTGTGTGTGTTGAGTAGTCCAAATTTGGGACCAGCATTTTTAGCAATATCATGTCTCGTACAGTTGGTTGTGTTGATTTGTTTTGTTACGAAAATCTATGTAAATTTACAAAAGCACGTCGATGCCAAGTAAATTATACACGACAACAAGCATAATTTAGGCTACTTCAAATTTTAAAAGACGATTGTAGTATCTATTCAATTCGATTTACTTTAGACCACCCAATGTATTCCGAGTGGGACCAAGTTCATTCCTCCTTAAACTTGCTGAGCGCCAAACATAGGATAGGCATCTCTTGGCAGCATAACCGTCGCATGGAGTGTTGCTAATGGTAAAATTGATAATACATTCAACTTGCTGAGCGCCAAACATAGGATAGGCATCTCTTGGCAGCATATCCGTCGCATGGAGTGTTGCAAATGGGAAAATTGATAATACATTCACTCCTCGTTTGGTACTGATTAAAATTTTAATTTTGATTTAAGTCAAAATTAATAATTAATTTCAACCATATATTTTACGAGATTCATAACATTTTAAGCACATTTCATCAACTTTTATCAAAATTTACTAAAAATCTGATTTTAATTCTTATCAAACAAGGGCTCAATGACGAATAAATTATAGTGATACTTTTATGGTCTAATATTTGTTTATATTAAACAAAAAGATTATTCCAAAATGTAAGAATGTGTTCTCTGTGTCTGGAGGAATGATTAATTGCCTATCAATAAATATGTAAAAGATGACATCTACCATGTGAAGCTCCATTTATCCATAGATATGTCTTTCTTTTGGGATTCCTCACAGGAAAATACGGTATCTCCTATACGTGGCAGATCTCAAACTTGATTGCGTGCCACATTCTACAACTAGGGTATGAGAAAAATTGTAAAACAATAGTACTTTTGTCTTTAATACTTTTCGAAAATTGAATTTCTTCTATTCTTGAAAATGGTTCTGAAACTATAAAAAATTCAAAAATCTTTTTAAAAAAGAAATTATGCATTTTGATACGATGCTGACATATTGCTTCTTTTTAATTTTTTTAAAAAAAATATTATTGAATATCGCGTCGTACATTAATCAATTTGGGAGAAAGATTGTTCGACAATTAACAAGTTCTTGGAATGTGAATGTGTGCGGGACAAGAAAATTATTGAACCAAGAAAGCTAAACATGAAGAGATTGTAGTTGATATTCAAGATTCAAGATTTGGAATCAAGATCAGGTATTAAAAAAAATCAATCTCAACGAATTAGATTATGTTACTCATTTAATAATTCTCTCGATGATTTGACTTGAAAAATATTGACAATAAAACAATTAGATTTTATAGTTATTGAGATTTAAAATTTGATAAAATTCTAACAAAAAGATGTAATTACAGAATAAACTTATAGATTATTGACAAGTGCTGCAATTCCTAATTTTCTATCTTTTCACGCCCTTTTACTTTAGAATTTCTTGATCATCATCTGACCTTTTCAACTTCAGCAGTTGGGAGCTGTTTCTTGGCGAGAAAGGTTCTTTCCTGCCTATATATCCTTATTTTATAGTTTCAGTTTCTTTGCACATTTTTCAACTCCTTCCA